GAAGGGGGATGATGAAAGTTTCTCAGTTAAATCAACCAGCTGAGACAGTGAACACAACTAAGTCAAAAACCCATCTGGCTAGTTAATCAGAATAATTTACCGTATTAAATTGTGTTATAATTCACATAAAATAAAAAATTTTTTCTGTAGTTGGTTTATAAGGATTAGTTTTGTTTTTATGAGTTGATCACGGATTGATATCAGTTAGAGAACCATTGAAAACCAGCAAGGGAGTACTGCATAGCCAGCTGTTTCATCAACCTAGTTTGGCAGTCATCGGTAGTACGCACCCACCCCACTGCCCGGGTTCGAACCCACGACCTTCTGGTTACAAGGCAAGCTCAGAATGGAGTTTCCTGGAGTCGAGTCAGTTCTAGTGAGAAGTCGTAAGCAGTGAGGTCCATCCAGATGTCACGTGTGAGGATGGATGTCCCACCGATGACATTGGTTGGTGCCAGTTGCGCTAAATGCATCACGAATTGGAAGAAGTTAGAATTCATGGGGTGGCCATTGAGCTGTCGGGTCTGTGTGGCTGGCTGAATGGTCTGCGAGCTAGATTATCTTGTTAACGGAAGGTCCTGGGTTTGAACCCTGGTGGTGGGTGATGATTCCCGAAATAGGACAAAACAGCTGTCTAGAAGTACTCGAGTGTTGGTTTTCATTGGTTCTCTAACTGATATCAATCCATGATTAACTTGTAAAAAAATTTTTTTCTTTTTACTGAAACGTTTTCTTCTCTCCTATTTTATTTCCAGTTATGTGTATTTTAGTTGGATTAAGTTTAGCTGAAACAGAAATTGAATATATTCATGATCATGGAGATGCAGATTTAACCCAGATGTTACTCTCTAACAGATTATTGGGGACAAAACCACCGGCGTCATCATCGTCAGGAGCAGCGGCAGGAGATGGATATACAAATCAATTGAGAATGGATAATCAGTTCAATAGAAATGATAACAATAATAATGCCAATACAATTCTTCCTGTTAGTGATAATAGTGCTGTGACCGGTAGCAGCACTAGTAGTGTCAGCAATCGTGATACAAACTCTGATCTATTAAGTTCAAATGGAGAATTTGCTTTATTTCTTACTCCACCTTTGTCTAGTTTCTTTCTGCTGATTTCAGCTAATTTTATCTTTCTACTAAGTTTTCTAGCTGTTCTCACCTATTTTGTACGTTTATGTGAAAAAGCTGATGAGGACAGAAAACATATGAGAAGTGCTGAAACAAGTCGGGCTTAAATGCTTAAAAAATCTGTTTTATCTTGTGTTAAATAGGTTTACTGTGTTTATCTATCTATGTGTGTGTACGTACTACTGCTACTTTTATCTGTGAGGTTGTGTGTTTGTGTGTTGTGCGCATACACACCCACCCACATCCATACAGCTTGAAGGGGAGTATTTTGCGTGTAAGAAGAGGATGCGTCGGTGATTTTTAAATTGTGTGTGTTTGTATACTATTGTCGACAGTCTATTTTACATTTCAATAGTGATGCCTTGATTATATATTATGCCATACTTTCTTACACATTATTATTACTATTATTATTACTATCACTATTTTGAGTAACCCCTGACATTGGTCCTCATTTTATTTTCGGAATGCTCCAGACTGCTTATTTCCTCAATATGAAATTCTTCTTGCTTTGGGTATGTTGAATAATAAAAGCGCCTTTGATCATAATAATCATAATAATGATAATGATATTGTGCATTTTAATCAATAATACATCACATTCTTGTTGTTTACTCTGTGCCTCTGTCTGCCTCTTTCTTCTTTCTGGAACTGTGGTAGATTGTTATATCGGCCAGGTAGAATCTCAGCTGTACTGTCTACCCTTTTTTTTAATGAGGTGTCACTTAGAGTTAAATTTGGCTGGAATAAAATCGATAAATTATAAATTTAGCGAAGGTTAGTCATAAAGGTGTATGCATGAGTATAAGTCAATTATAGATAAGGTTTTATTTTGATAAAATCACACAGTTGCTATTAGATGGCTGGAGGCAATCGGCCACAGGAAGCTATGGACCCAGATTTCGTGCTAGTTGGCGCCCATCAGCAAGGCGTATCTGCAACCTCGAAGGAACTCATGTCCCTTGTGACATTCGAACCCGTGTCATCCAGTGCTGCAGTTACAGAGAGACGTTACCATTGAGCTATTCGGGCTCGCGATTGACCTCCTGTAGGACTGTAGTGGATATTTTGACTTGACAATAGTAACTAGTGTGATGTGTCTAGTCCTATATTTGGTGCAGACTGAATTCTATCACAGTGCACCGTGATGGCGAGCCACCTACCATGGTGGCCACATTGCAAGCTTGTCTGACAAGAATTCAGTCTGCACCAAGATAGAACTAGACACATTGCGCTAGTTACTGACTTGTGTTCAATCAAAAAATCACACAGTGTTATACAGTAATATTAACTGATGACCACGTTTCGAACACAATTTATTGCCACTCATAATCATATCAAGGTACTCACACAACTTTTTTCCTTCATTTATATACATGAGTGAAATTGATTAGATATTTGAATAAAAATCAACATAGGATAATGTACATTCAGAAATAATATTAGTGTTATCAATAAATTACAGTCAGATGGGAAATAAGACGAGTGTTTTTATAGTCAAAATAAGTAACTTGTTAGAATGTTATGATGTACGTGAATTGAAATAGAATTTTAAGATTATTTATTATCCTCCTCTGATTTGACTGACTGGTGGTAATAATATCTTCCATATCTCTGGTATTTGCGTTGAGTCATTTCTGTTGCATGTGTTGGGTGTAGACTCGATGAACCAGGCAGGATTCAGTAATCAATCTCTCTCTCCACCTATCTATATTACTTTTTAGAATTTTAACCCTCTCCCACCCTATTGTGTGGTTGTGTGTTAATGCATGCAGTGCGATTGCTGAGTTTTTTTCTAAATTACTCATCTGTCTTCGTGGGATCAATCATTCTAACCTTAGCCACTAAATTCTTATGTTCTGATAATCTCACTACTCCTGATCTACTAGTTTGACCTATGTAGTTCACCTAACTCACAGTCATTGCAAGGTATTTTGTGAATTATATTATTTTGTTTAATTGGATCCACCGGGTGTTTTAGCCTACAGAGCGTGTCCTGCGTGAGTGAGTATGTAGCTTTAAATGCCACCGTAATTCCCGCTTTATTGAGAATCCTACGTAGGAAGGGTCTCAGAAGTCCCCTCCTTATTTGGTATAACTGTAGATGTCTAATCAGTTCCACACATGTATATAAATGAAGTAAAAAGTTGTGTGAGTGCCTTTATATCATTATGAGTGGGAATAATTTGTGCTCGAAACGTGGTCATCAGTTAATATTACTGTATAACACCACTGTGTGACACTTTATCAAAATAAAATCTTATCCATAATGGAGTTATACTCTACCACCACAGTGCCCAAGGAGTATAAGTATTCTGCTTGTAATCCACCTTAGCTAGTATGGTCATGTATTAGATTATTAATTATAATAGCTTTATTCCAAATAGTACTTTCGGTATAAACACTGGTGGCCTGTTTAAAGCTTGAGCTACCGAAAACAACCTCCATCAGTATATATTGTCATGTAATTCCCCTTATTCACTTTGTTTAAATCTAGTAAAATGTGACTCCCTCTAATGGTATTGTTTACTCTAGCGAGTATTTAAAACATTTACTATCTATGGTTTCGCAATTTTCTAATAAAGATGACGAAAAGCATTATCGTCGAAGTCATGTAACGACAGAAGGCAAGAGTCAGGCAACAGATCATTTATTAAGGAAATCAACGCATATTTATATATTTTCATGTACATTACTATGGTTATTTAAGTAAACAAAAACAGTCTTCCGATTGGTTGTTTCTCACGTAAAGTTAATCTTTCATCTATTTGTGACTGTTTCTTGAATGTCAAATCCTCTATATGTTAACTGCATCCGCCTACGCAAAGTCTGCTGTGGTCGGTTTCGAATCAATCTTTGTTCACATTTTCTCACGACAAATCTTGGGAACGTAAATATTGACGTAAATTACTGTCTACCAATTTGGCTAGTAGACAGCTCTCACCACATCAGCTTATCGCAGTACTATGAGATAACTGTTCTCCTGAATGGTGTCCTTAGGTTACAAAATGTACTCCTCAAATTTTTATAATTGTCCTTCAACAAACCGTCGTGGTGTATTTCTCGAAAGAGAAAACGAAGAGATATCATCATAATGGATTTATTTGTACTCCAGTTCAGATAGCAGTGTGTCACACGATCTATCGTCAATTAATCTGTTTTATTTGAAGATCCTGGACGAGGAGCAAATAGGATGCAACGAACTCCGCTGAAGATTCTGTACAATTATATAAAAATTGTTTAGAATATTATTATTATTCCCTTGCGTTCCGAGTGAAACATAGGGCTTCAACAACACACCTCCGCTTTGTCCGGTTTTCTGCCGTCTTCTTCAGCTGGATCCACAATTGACCAAACTCTCTCATCTCCACCTCACACGACGTCCTCCATGTCACCCTCGCACTGATGACCTACTCGTCGCTTCCCATTGAGATTCCACTCGAGAAATTACATTGGGAGATATAAGACTGATAGGCGAATAAACTGCATTGAATTAGTCATGCAGAAAGACAGGTGTGAATGTTTTCTAGGTCATGTTCAAATAGATAAGGGGAGAGGGAGTATGAATGATTAAGATTAAGATAAAATGCACTACGCTTCAATTACATCACTTAGATAAACAATCAGTCATTAGAGAATATATCAAGAATTGCGAACTGAGTAATATCAATGGTTATGGTTATAATAATAACACTTCAGCATTATTATTGTTATTACTATTATTATTATAACTATTACTATTGTTTGCATTTCTTGTTATATTCTCTAACGACTAATTGTTTATCTAAGTGATGTAATTGAAGCGTAGTGCATTTTATCTTAATCTTAATCATTCATACTCCCTCTCCCCTTATCTATTTGAACATGACCTAGAAAACATTCACACCTGTCTTTCTGCATGACTAATTCAATGCAGTTTATTTGCTTACTTATCAGTCTTATATCTCCCAATGTAATTTCAAAAGTATATATATATATATATCCGTGCATGTAGAGTATTCAGCTAACGAGGTTAGAGAATCATCGGAAAAGCAGTACTCGAGTACTGGACAGCCTACTCGTCAGCCTAGCTTGAGACTCTTCACCAGTACACTCCTACCGTCAGGGTTCGAACCGAGGACCTTCTAGTTACAAGGCGAGCTCGTGGACCAATAAGCCACTGAGACCCCATCCAGTGGCGAACCCATGGATTCTAACTTCTGCCATTTAGTAATAGTAGTCTTACGTAATCTAAAGATATTCATTGATGATTACTGTACTGCTTAGAAATATTATCAATAAAACTACAAGTGCTTTGAAACAGAGGTATCGTTCAAGAGAGTGAGACATGCATTAAATATGCTCTAAAGTTAGAGGTTTACAGTTAGGAGTTTGAAAGCAAAGCAAAAAGTTTGGATATGGACGGATTACACATCAAACTGTTATACACAAGATCAAAAAAGGTGTTAAGGCGACGGTAGCAGATAGTATTCGACAACCCACTTCTTTGTATACGCAGTTCAAGGTTCTCCATGAGTAGTACAGCAACGTATGCTTACAACAATGGTAAACGGATCTTGAACTATGGGGTCAATAATACAGTCTAGTGCTAAACGCATATTTTATGTGTTGAAATTATTAGCGTGAGTTCTGGAAAGAACTACACTGAATGGCTAGTGGGTTAGGGAAACAATCAGCTGGTTGCATAATACTGCATACTACTGATAGATTGAAATGAGTAGTCTCAGACCAATTGCATGAACCAGTAGCCAGATGGAGACGGTCTAAACACCGGACAGCCGTTTCCCTCGTTTGTGGTCGAGCTTATGAGCTGTGCACCTGGCTGGATTCTGTTCAGAAAGACGAACAGTTTTTATTATTCTTAAACCTTTCAGTTTACTAGTATTGTGGTGAGAGCTGTCTGCTAGCCAAAATTGGTAGACAGCAATTTAAGTCAAAGTTTACGTCCCATATCTTGTTCATGAGAAAAAAACAATAACAAAGACTAACTCAACAACCAATCACAGCGGACTTAGCGTGTGCAAATACGATTCGCTGATATATGGCTTAACTTTCTAAGAAACGGCTACAAAGAGATGACAGAATAACCTTCAGAAGGAAAACAACC